AAATCTAGACTGTCCTTAGGAATGGCACCTCCTTACAACCGCTCCAGAGCGAGATAAGACTTTATAAGAATTAGCTACGTGTTTGACCTTAATGTTCCTTCTTCAAGCCAAATGTTTATAATCAGCCAAATCTCAGATTGTGTAGACATCTGTGTTTACTGGATGCATAAGCTCTTTGTCACATGGTATGTGCATGGTCCACATGTGGAAGGAAAATGAATGGCCGCCTATTCTGGGTACCAAGTGAGGAGCAAAGGCACACACTGTGCGGAAGAAGCTCCCTTAGGCAGAACTGAGCCACGCCAAGCGCAGTTTCATGCAAGTACTCCTCTACCTTGTTGATTTTTAACGCATTCCTCCGCCTTTTTAATGTGACAGAAATGGCTGCCTCTCCAACCCCAATTCTTGTGGCTTAGGACAGGTGTTGCTCTTCTTTGGCTGGTAGTTTCAAATGAAATTTCAAAGTCTAAGCATATGTTTGCTCACTTATTGTAACACCAGAGAACTAAATCTGAACTTTGGAAAAAGTCTATTAATAATTGACAAATAACAGAATCGTCAAGATGTAGAAGGCAACACAGAAAAAAAATAAATGAAACCAACCTGGGCTTGCAATAACCCGTGAAAATGTTCAGCCGGCTAGTTTGTATCAGCGATTATGAACAACATGCTAAGTCAATTCTTCAGAAGTCTATATATGACTATTATAGGTCTGGAGCAAACGATCAGGAAACCCTGGCTGATAATATGGCAGCATTTTCCAGGTAAGAAAACATGTTTATTTTTAAATCATGTTTTAAAATTACACAAAGACATTCTACTAAAATAAGTTCTCCTAGTTTCAGTGTCGATGATGTGGAATTATTTGGCTAACTATATGCTTAATAGAGAAGGGGAAACTCTTGGGATTAGGAGAAACCTTGGGCTTTTAAATTATTTTAAACTACTCTAAGCCTGGGGATATTGAACAATTGACTGAAAAAGCCAACTTTAAGTTTCCCCACTTGGAATTATGTGGATAACTAATTTATGTGTAAAAAGACAGTGCTAAATTGTGATCGCCCCATTGTCTTTTTCTCTGAGTAGGACAGTGAGAGTCTGCTCACGGTGTCGGAAAGACATTAATTGCGAGATAATCATCTTCTCTGGTTGAGCCAGAACAGATTGTTGCCTCAAATATTCCCATCCTGCTGGCTTGCCCCTTATCATTCATTTTGATGACTGTCGTCTATTCTAAACTTTCACTTTAGATTTCAATTTGTCTACAGAGCATTAATCTTTCAACTCTGCTGTTTCATCTCTGCTCCAAAGAACCTCATCTCTCTCTTCCCAAGTCAGTTTTCCCTTCACTTTCATATTTCAAAGCACAGGATGGTGAGTGTCATGGTTTATGTTTTCTGCTTGTAATAAAAACAGAAAGGAAAATAACTTTAAAGGAGTATTTTATCTCTCAGCAGTTACAAATATGGTTTATGTGCTCGAGTAGGGGAGAAGAGCCCTGAATACACAACAGTCTTTCAGGCTCATCCATTTTATATGATAGCCTTTCGTAAAGCCAATGAGTGTCGTGGGTGCTTATTGATGGTGAGAAATTAAACAGAAAAAGGCAGAAAATACCCAGGGGAAAGAACCTGCCTTTCTTCTTGATTTTTTTTCTTTAGTCTAGAGCAAAATCACTCAGAATCACTTTTCCGTGTATAAATTAGGAGAAATGACACCATTCTAACCAAGGTGTTCCCTAGCAAGCAGCATAGATTCACCTGCAAATCAGTGCAGGGGCCTGAGAATGGGGTGAACATTGGGGCCTCCCCAAAACCTCTGGTAGCCTTGACTTTGTCTCAGATCTTCTCTGGAAACCAAATGAGCTGAAAAAAAAATGCTGGAAGAGCTGAGGGAAGGGAAAAGTTGGCTAAGAGTAGAGGAGGGGCTTACAATTCTGCATCTTTTCCAGTCATTAATACTTTAGCCCATTCAGTTTTCTGCTCTTGGAAGATGCCCCTTCCTGGGCCCACACCAACTCTGTTCACCAGGTAATGTGGTCTGCTTATTAGTTGTCTCCTGAAGACAACACCTTAACCCAAATATGTCACCTTAACCAAGGAAATGTCAGGCCTCTGGTAGGCTTATGGAGGTGGTGCCTGTTGGCATTTCTTAAGGCACAATGCTCAGGTGACCACCTATTCCATTTATGTACAGCCTTCCTCTCCCTTTATTTCCCCTCAACCCATGCAATTAATTAAACTACCAACACTTATTAGAGACCTCGATGGGCGACTGTATTACATGCTGAGGACAGAGCGATGAGCCAGACAGAGAAAGTTCCTGTCCAGGGGAGCTTACATTCCAATGGACACACATGGGCCTGGCCTCCATAATGCTAGTGGGTGGCACTGATGTAAAATGGACCCAAAACAGTTGGCCCCATGGAGGCCTCCGAGAGGGAGCCAAGGTGTGTGCAGCAAAGCAGACGGACCACCTCTGCAGCCCTAGGAATTCCAGAAACTGTGTGAACCATAGAAGGCTGCGTGTGGTGCTTCCAAGCTGTGAACTGGACCTCACAGCTTGTGTGAGCCACGTGGTGCTCTGTTCCCATGAGTCTTCCCAGTCTGTGTGTGTGCTGAGTGGTTTAGGGACAGGACACAGATACTGGGAATGAGTTTGCTCTGCCACCTTTCCCACAAACCTGGACCGTTCTCTTCTGTTCAGCTTTAAAAGGGAAAACATGGAGAATATATATATATATATATATATATATATATATATATATATCCACTTTCTGTGGAGGGTGGCACATGCTGTTTTATTATCAACCACTTGAGGAGTTTTTACGGCAACGAACGTTAGAGACCATTGCCTATCTAACGTCTCAGTTCCTCTTTTGCTGTGTAACTGAATGGCTGACCCTTCATCCCTCACCCTGTATCGAGCTGATCACATGAAATTAAGAATAGATTTTCTGCCGGGGTTGTGGTGGCTTTGGGTACATGGGATAAAGGGAATCAATTTGAAATCTCTCATTCTCATTTAAATGAAGACTACAAAACAACCAGGCCTCACATAGCCTGTTGTGACACAATAGCAGGGTATTTTAAAGGCATTTATACATGTCCCTCTCCCACAAGTGCAATAAAGGGTCATTCTCAGCGACAGCTTTTATCTCTCTGAACTTAGCTCTGACAACCACAGTTTGGAGTTCTGGGGACATGTGCCACTTATGTGACCCAGCAGTTGCTTGGAGAAATTTCTGGGTAAGACTTGTGACTCTAATATTATTGTGCCTCTCTACCCCCAACAAAAGGACAAATAAAGTCAAATAGATAGAACCATTCAAAACAGTGTTTTCTATTGAAAACATGACAAGAACAGAGTAGATGTCAGCTTGCTACATCCTACATGGTCTGACCCCATTGGAGTTAATGTTAAAAAGGACGGTAATTTGATTCTTTTACACATTAACTCAGTGTATCCTTCTTAACCATGATCTGCACATATTTTGTGTCTTCTTGTGAAATTAACACGGGTGGAAAATAATTCTACAACTTGGGCATTTAGAAGTTTCATGATGTTAGAAAAGGAAACTATTCTAATTCTTTTTGCATCACTTATTGACACTTAAGAAATAACAGATGGTAAAAGTGGTATCATTCTCTCTTTAATACTTGAGCAGCAACATAAACTTACCAGTGGAATTTTCAGTATTTTTTCATAAGGCATAAATGTCACAGAATCATTTAGCTAGCTTGTAAAACTGGGTATGTTGCTTTTTGCTCTTGCATGATGAAAAGCAGCTAATTGTCTCTTGTTTTTGAGGATTCACATGGCAAGAGATTTCATAACCCAACTCTATTTTCTCCCCCCTTTCCCCCTTTCTCCTCCCCCCTCTCTTCTACTTCCCCCCTCTACCCCAAAACTGTGGGTTTTTTTATCCAGATAAGTGTTGACAAGCACATGCACACACACACACACACACACACACACACACCATGCACCAATTGCAGGAGGTTCAGGAACTTCAGAAACTATTAAAAAGAATGAATGGTAAACAATAAGATTATAAAAATTGTGATAATTTGAAAATTCATGCACTGGAAGGGGGCTCCCTCAGCCCGGCTTGCTCCCTCACAGTCCAGGAGCCCTCAGGGGTGGGAGGCAACCTGGCGATCGAGGGAAGGTGACGCCCAATCACACCTCTGCTGCTGCCACTGCCAGCAGCGCAAGCCTCAGCCGGCCCTGGTTACCTGAGCCTCAGACAGCCCTGGGCAGCTAGGCAGCTACCATCCGAGGCTTGCCTGTGCTTCAGGCTGACCCTGGGTGGCTGGGCAGCCAACATCTGAGGCCTTCCTGCACCTCGGGTTGGCCCTGGGCGGCTGGGGGGCTGAGAGGACTGGGGGACTCCAGAGGCAGGCATGCAGAGCAGCTGGGCCACCTGGGGGTGGGCCCAGCTTTGCCACATACCTGCTGCCCTGGCGGGGTTAAGGGGACTGGGTGCTGCCATCTTGTGGCTGTGGGTGCTGCCATCTTTGAGGGCGGGGCAGTCAAGTAGCATATTCCCTCCTTATTGGCTGTGGGCGCCACCATCTTTGCAACAGCATGAGGGTCAATTAGCATATTCCCTCTTTATTAGATAGGACTAGAGGCCCCTCAATATAATAGAGGGACCCCTGAGGGGGGTCACTCAGCCCGGCCTGTGTCCTCTCATAGTCCGGGAGCCCTCAGGAGATGTCTGACTGCCGGCTTAAGCCATCAGTCGGACATCCTTAGTGCTGCCATGCAGGCAGGAGAGGCTTCTGCCACCATCGCTGTGCTTGCAGCCGTGAGCCCGGCTTCTGGCTGATCAGTGCTCCTGCGTTGAGCGTCTGCCCCCTTGTGGCCAGTGTGCATCATAGCAACTGGTCATTCTGCCGTTCAGTCAATGTGCATATTAGCCTTTTATAATTATTACTAGAGGCCCGGTGCACAAAAATTTGTGCACTCGGGGGGCGGGAGGAGGGGGGTCCCCCAGCCCGGCCTGTGCCCTCTCGCAGTCTGGGACCCCTTGGGAGATAACGACCTGCTGGCTTAGGCCTGCTCCCGGGTGGCAGAGGGCAGGCCCAATCCCTGGTCAGGCTCAGAGCAGGGCTGATTGGGGAGTTGGGGCGCCGCCCCGTCATGACAGAGCAGGGCGGATCGGGAGGTTGCGATGCCACCCTCAGTCACGCTCAGGGTAGGGCCGATTGGGGGGTTGGGGCACCGCCCCCTGTCACACTCAAGGCAGTGTCGATGGGGAGGTTGCGGCGCCACCCTCTGTCATGCACAGACCAGGGCCGATCAGGGGTGTTGGGGCTCCGTACCCTGTCACACACAGAGCAGGGCCAATCAGGGGGTTGAGGAGCTCCCCCCTGTCACTCACAGAGTAGGGCCGATAGGGGAGTTGGGGCACCGCCCCCTGTCACACACAGAGCAGGGCGGATCAGGGGGTTGGGGCGCTGCACCCTGTCACACTCAGGGCAGGACCAATGGGGAGGTTATGGCTCTACCCTGTCACACACAGAGCAGGGCCCGTGGGGGGGGGGCTTGGGGCGCCGCACCCTGTCACACACAGAGCAGGGCGGATCAGGGGGTTGGTGCGCCGCACCCTGTCAAACACAGAGCCGCAGGGAAATCGGGATTGGGGAGCTCTCCCCCTATCAGGCACAGAGCAGGGCTGATCAGGGGGTTGGGGTGCTTTCCCCTGTCACGAACAGAGCAGGGCGGATAGGGAGGTTGTGGACCCCGCCCCCCTGTC